CGGAGCGCGCCCGTGCCAGCAGCATCCGCCGTCCGTCCCCGAGCCCCGCCCGCACGTCAACCTGCCCTTCTTCACGACCGAGCCCCGCCCCCATCTCGCTCTATTCGCATGGTTTGTCAGAGATCATCTTAGGGAATGCGATTAGAAAGCTGGAGCTCCTCGGGAGGAGGTCGTTATCATGACAAAAGTATGCGACACAGACATCTACGCTCACAGATGCGCCGTCTGACAGGCGTGTTTCTTCCACCCCGGCACCGATGTCCTTCAGAGTGGCAAGAAGCCGGAAGACATCGGGATTATCAACCAGAAGGGCCTCAGTCGCAAGGTGCGTTCTTGAACCCCGTGGCCGCTTGCTTTTCGCCAATACAGGTATATGCTCCAGCACATCTTCGACGGCGTGAAGGCAAGCCTCAAGCGACTACAGGTCGATCACATTGATCTGCTGCAATGTGCGTGAGACGGCTTCGCGTAGAACTGATGACCGACCATTCTTGACACGCGCCATAGGTCACCGCTTCGATTATGACACCCCGATCGAAGAGACAGCAAGTGTTCTTTGTGCGCAATAGCTAAGCGCACAGATATTGACAGCCGTCTCTTAGATGCAAGCCCTCCACGATGTCGTCCAAGCCGGATATGTGCGCTACATCGGCATGAGCTCCTGCTGGGCTTATCAATGTAAGTAAACATGGTAGCGTATCACGCACATTCTCTGCTCACATTCTTTTGTCAGTCCATGCCATGCAAAGTACGTCCTCGCGGGCACCTTCCCAGGATAGCCGCTCGGAAGCTGACATCTGTGGACTAGACTACGCGATCACGCACAACCTCACGCCGTTTGTGTCCATGCAGAACCACTACAGCCTCCTGTACCGCGAGGAGGAACGTGAGATGATGCCCACGCTCAAGGTGCGCTCTTTCGCCTCTTCTCCGTTGTCTCCTTCCACTGACCACTCCATGGAATCTGGTAGATGTTCGGGGTTGGGTCGATTCCCTATTCACCTCTCGGTCGTGGGCTCCTGTGCCGTCCGGTCAACGCAGAGGAGACGCTGCGCAAGCAGACCGACACGTGAGTATGACCGCTCGAGTGTGGAAGCGAACACGCTGACATGGGCGATGCAGCTGGCAAGCTGATTATGACATTCCCTTCCTCCCGGCCCTTACGAGCAGGTCCGTGATGTGTACGCTCGTCCGTATTCCCCAATTTGACGTGTGCGATTTTATAGAATCGAAG